TCTTAACCACCCCCCCCTACAACACATGCACAACAAACAACACAACACAACGCAATATAATAATACAATATCTTTTAAAAATCTACACACACTCATGGGTCAATACATCCTTTTGTTTGAACATTTTTTTCTGTTGTGATAAACACTGACACTCGTAATAAAAACATGTCACTCCAGTAATCAACATTTTTATGCGTACTAGCCACTTAATAGAATATTATTTTGGCTTGACACGGATACCATTTTCTCACAAAATCTTCGTCGTTATTATTAAATATTAAAGTGCTTCCGGAAACAGTGTCGCACATAACTAGAACACGCGACCACAGTGTTGGTGTTTTTCTGGCAAAGTGGGCTAATGGCACTCGAGAGACACTTCGAAATACCAGACTTAAGTGCGTCTAAACGTTTTATTTTTCTGAACATAAATAATCTAGAATAATTATATAATTAGGTTGAAAGGTGACAGACATGGCGCCACTTGGCCACGTTACAGTACAGGCAGCTGAGAGGAATCAATTCCCTGTGGGATTCAAACAATAACCAGGTCACGTCGAAATCAGTACTGACACTTTGTCTGTCTATAGAACAAAACTATATTAATAATTACTTGTTGTTTAGATTTCCTTTTCTTCTATTTTCACCAGTAGTTCATTTCCCCAATGTACAGAAAAGTGGGCAGACATGGAATAACTTCAAGAGGCTAGCCTAGGATAGGAAAAGGTGGAACGTGTTTGTTCGTGGCATGGTAGAAAGGCAACGATGATGATGATGATGATGATGACAGCCTCCCAATCTTGGCATCCTCCTTATTCGCACTAGAATAATAACATCCACATCCTCAACTCCGATAAACCCATATTCCCCGCCTCAAAATTTTCCTTGTCAAAAACCTAGATGCAAAACATGTGCTTACATCGAAGTGACCAACTTTGTAGAAGGCCCCCACTTTAAAAGAAAACTTTCCCACAGCAGCCCTTGTGAAACCAAACATGTATGTAATCTATCTCTTATCTTGTAAAGTCTGTCCAGCTCAATGTAAGTCCAACTACCACCGCACTAAGAGCTAGGTTTAATAACCATAGGTATTCAGTCCAGAAAAACTCCTGCTCACAAGTTGGCCAACATTTCAACAGTCCTGGTCACAATGTAGCCTCCGATTTGCAGATTCAGGGTATTGAAATAGTCCAATATCCAACTAAAGAAAAATTTAACCAAGATAATCAATGTGGATTTGGAACTTGGGGTCTCAAGAAATTCTCACTGTCCTTAACATCGACGAGCCCCATTTTAAGTTAATTAAGTTAAATTTACAAAGTAAGGTACTAATCACCCCTTGTGTTCCTGTAACCCACTCCCTTTGGTCCTGCCTTTCAGTTTTATTCCTTACCTCTACGCACCTGTTTCCCCTACAACTCCCTCTCTCTCTCCCTCTCTCTCTCTCTCTC